CACTTCAACTTCACGAAGAGACTTCTCTTCGATGAGCAAACGCTTGAGCCTTTCAATCTCTACCTCGGCCTTACGGCGAATTCGAGCATTCTCCTCGGATTCTTTCCTCCGCAACTCCTGTTCGGCAATAACTAACGCCTCGGCAGTTCGCGCTGCTGCAACAGCCTCGGCCGCCGTCTTCTCAGCCTTCAGTTTAGCAGACTCAGACCGTTCGATAGCCAGCGCGTTATCACGAGCCCCTGAGTCGTAAGAGTGAACCATCGTGTTCATCGAAGAAAAGGCCTGGAGAATGAATAACAAAGATGTGTCAAGTCCTGAAACAAAACTGCCTCGTACGAGAATGGATCTGAGCACGTACCTTCAAGAAATTCGCCGCAGCCTCACCATATCGCTCCGCCTCGATTAAGCCTTCGGGGGCGGGAAGTAGCGGCCAAGCGCAAGAAGCGATAAGGTTGGCGGAAGCAACCTTGTCCTTTTATATCGGCCGAGAGGAGCTATGAGCCCGTTTCGACCTTTTACGCCTATCCCCGGAGTGTTCTCCTCGGGGATGCTTTCTCTTGGACCTGGTCTGCCCACCAGCAGGCAAACCAACCACCAACGTGTTTCCCGCCTCGGGAACCTGGCTTGCAACATCCCCAATCGGGATACCTTCTGGCACCTCGGACAGAGCCATGGTGACAGCTAAATCAGCACCCGATTCTACGGGATCAACGATCACCTCGGGGACGGTAGTTGCCTCGGTCCCCGCTATAGCCTCGGGCGGAGCCACCGGTCCGAAAGCCGCCTCTAACGTTCTCTGCTCTTCGCGCGCCTTCTTCTCGGCGGCCTTCTTTTCCCTTAAAGACATCTTCACCCCTTGCATCTCCGTAAAAAAACTTAGCCTTTGGTCTGAAGAAGATGAGGAAGTGGAACAGGACGCGCCGTGAAGAATCCTTAACGCCTTTTCAACCCTTTCTTGGGAGAAATGCTTAATCCAGTGACACTTCCGAGCAGCCAACTCCTCACGCACGCTGAAAAAGTCCTCGGGAATACGATCCAGAAAGCTCGGGCCTCGATCTGCAAAAGAAGATCGAAACATCATTTAAAGCCAAGTTATAACAGAAAACAAACAAGAATCACGGATGAACTACCAATCTTTCTCCATTTTCCAATCATCTTTTCAAGGCAGCCCTCGGGGACACAATCTTCGTCAAGGGCGACGAAGAAGAAATGATCGGTGTACTTCTCATCTTTGCTCGGGAAGCCGCCGATAACCCTTCGCTTCGGACGTGGAGAAATATAATATCTCTCCATCTCACAGCTCGGAACACGGCGAATCTCCAGCAAATTCCTTAGATGATCAAGACCAATGTCGTTGTACGTCTCGAATCCACGTACTAAGATTCCGACTAAGTGTCGAAGGCCTCGGGTCGTGATCTGAGCCAAAGCAAGCTTATACGACCATAAGTACTCAACGATCGGCCTCGGGATTGGAAACCAGAGGAAGCAGAAGTAGAAGAATCCTTCGTACAAGGTAACCCTTCGGGAGGATCGTCGGCTCTCTCACTGGAAGTCGGCAATCGCAGAGCCACCCCTTCGCCAAAGTTGAAACGTGCTTTTAAGTCTCGAAGAGAGTCTGAAGTCGACAGAGTGGAACCAGGAGGATCCGGTTTTTTCACTTTCTTGGCTCGGTTTTTCTTCCTTTGAGCCATTGCACCCTGAATTGCCAACTGAAGGAGCCTGGCTCCCTCCTCGGGATCATAGGTAACCATTTCACCCTTCACCTCGGGTAAAACCGACAGCTCGGGCACATCTTGCCAACAAGAGACTCCAGCTTCATCCGAAGCCGGAGGACGCGTCCTCTTATTCAAAACCGCCTCGAGATCGTCAGGGAGATCCTCATCCCGAGCTATATCAGCGATTGCATCTTCCCGAGCCACAAAGTGGCTCGGATCTCCACGTTGTTCAGATGACGATTCCGCTCTGTTACCCGGCTCGGGTCGACCCGATGAAATGGCCTCGGACCCATCTAAACTGCTCCAAACCATCTTTCGTTTGCAAACCGGAACATTTCTACCTCGGGACGAATCGCTTGAGTCTGAAAGCGGCATTTTTTGGGCTCGGGAGAATCGAAGAAACAGCCGGATAAACAAGATTCGGAGATCGGAAAAATCAAATCTAGGATCTAACACGGTGGAGAAACAACGGAAAAATAAAGCGGAGCAAAGGAAAACAAAGAAATCAAGATCAGAGCAAAAGAAACGAACCTTTAAAATTTTGCTCAAGAATTGCAGAACTGGAAAAATGAGTCGCGAGAGGAGTATTTATAAAACGCTTCGGCGCGTCGGGCGCGCGTGGACTCTGAGATAGTATCACGTCCGCCGCAATTCTCGGGAATAAGCGAAAACTTTTCCACTTCTCGAGAGGGAAATTCAACCGTCACACGCTAGAAGAAGATGAAGTGTCGAAGGGATTCGAATCGTCAGGAGATTTCAGACCACCGAAGGATTCAAACTCTCCGATAGCCTCGGCGTACAAGGATAAGCTCGGGACAATGTTTAAACTGCTCGGACTAATAATCATGAAGCTCATCACTTGCTCCTCAAGACAACGAGCTGGGGGGCTAACTGTTGGGGTCGGATTCCACCCGCATTAAGTCCGAGCTAAGACATAACACATCGGGACGTATCACCAAACCGGCTCGGGGAACTGCCAAAACAGCTCGGGATCAGTCACTGAACTAGCTCGTAGAATGCCGATTGATACGGCTCGGGTCATCCTATACTAGCTCGGGGACGTTTGCCGTGACAGCTCGGGACTACGCAAAGAAAGTTTTCCTTTCACCCCGAGCCGACTTCGCAGAATCGCCCGAGGCAAAAGGACTACGCCATCATATCCGAGCTGGGTTCTCCCTTCGTCCGAGCCAACTTCACAAGTCGCCCGAGCCGCCTCCCCTCAAGTACCCGAGCTCAGTCGACGAGAGTATCCGAGCCCAATCTTCTCAAAGTCTCCTCAGCTCGGGTCGGGCGTCATGACATCGTCCAAGCTGCCCGAGCCGAAATCATCAAAGACACCCGAGGCAAGTACTTAGTAAATATTCGCCTTCAAAAGTATCATTTCCAAGCAAGACATCATTTCCGATATACCCGGAAATGATAAGAGGGAATCTAGAAGGATCGACTCAAATCAGGATATCTTCCAAGAAACTCCGAAGAATAAGGAAATTATCCTTATTCCGCGATATTCTAAGCCGACTTCAAGATAAATAGAAATCTTCCGAGAATATCGCTGGAGAGGCGGTTTATCACCCCTATATAAAGAGACTCAAGGCTCTCACAGAAGGACAGGCAAGATCGCTCTAGAATTTACACTACGCAAAGCTCTCACAGCACAAACATCTTTTTCCTTTTACGATCAAACTCTTGTACGATCAAAGTCATCTTTTTCTTAATAATATCAAGAACGCCATCTTTGGTTATAATCGTTTCTGTTGTTCTTTGAGAATTCACGATTATCGTATCCCTAAAATAAAACCCTAGACAAATCTTGATTGTGTTAGTTTCGACTTCCACAATATTGGACTTAGAATCTAGAACTAAGAACCAGTTACCTGAGTTTGCCAAGAATCGAAATCTTGATAAGTCTCTCTTTGTTTTGTAAACCCTAGCTTCCTCCGGGTTATACAAAGCACAATTACCATCCTCCTCTGGAAACAGAATCAGCCATGGAGATGTGTTTTTTCGAGGTAAAGTTTGTTTGGAACACGAATACCAATTCGAACACACGATCTTAGCGCGGTGGAAATCCACAAACCTCAAACGTTCGAACACAGATCTCAAGATGTCCATGGGAATCTCCCGACCAGAGAGTCAACATGCTTCCAAACTTTAATCAAAGTATCAATCGCGTCTAATTGCTTCTAGAGTTTCGGGAATCGAAGCTTGCTTGTGAACTGGAGATGGGGAATCGAAGCTTGTTCGTAGATTGTGATCTTAGTTTCTTGAACAAGAAACAAAGGTTTTTCAACTTTATTAATTGGGCCTCTCGTTATCAAAGAAGCCCAATGGCATGTACTGGTTTAAAATTTTAAATTTTAGTTTTAAAACTTCATTGATGAAGAAAAATTTTGTTTCTATTTGTTTCTCGTTCTTTAAACTTAAAGTTGATTGTTTAGTTTGTAGATCCATTCTTTTTTTATATTATTTCACTCATATATACATCTTGTTATAAATAGATATTTATTATGATGATTATCCATTACATCTTCTCCTCACGTCACTTGGTCCCCAAGTTAAGTAGTTAAAGTTTATCTTCATTATAGTTTATCCATTCATAAATATTAGCTTAGGCTCCAAGTTTTGTTGTACTATATATACTTCTCATTTGAGAAGTTGAAGCAACACACGTAGAAAGAAGAAAACGAGATAATAAAGAAAGATCACGTCTCCTTCCTCCTCTCTACTACTTTAATATTTTCTTATTTCAGTATTTTTATTCAACACGTTATCAGCACGATGTCTTTACCGTTTGAGCGTTTACGAGGTAAGTAAAAATTTATATTATTTAAATTTATTTATGTTTATAGAACATAATTATTTTAGACATCGTGAGACTATGCCTTTTTCCGGTTTGATCGTTATAAATGGTAGGCTCTGCCTTCTTTACGATCAAATAAAAAGCTATGTCTTTTCCGGATAGATCGTTATATATGGTAGGCTATGCCTCTTTTACGATAAAATAAATGGCTATGCTTTTTCCGGATCGATCGTCATATGGTAGGTTTTACCTTCCTAACGATCAAATGAAAATTTATATTTTTTCCGGATTGATCAATATATATGGTAGGCTCTGCCTCATTCTCTACGATCAAACGAAAGCTATGCCTATTGAATTCTTAATGGAAGGCGATGCCTCCTGAATTCTTGTACAAAAGGGCTTTGGTCTCTATATTATTAATTTTATATATTTATGTGTTTAAGTATTTTAATTTATTTTATTCGTAAAGAATAAATATGTGTTATATGAGATTTAAAGACTTTGAAATATGTCTTTAAAATCAAAAATATATTTCTCTTATGAGAATATATAAAGCACATGTCAATATATTTTTAGACAGTGCAAAATAATTGGAAGGTCTAGATGAGAAATCCTCTCGACTTCCAAATGCATCAGATTCATAATAATCGATGCTTCGTGTTCTCCAAAGTCTCAAAGAAACTCGTGTAGTTTCAAAGAAATTGATCTTTATAATTATTATATTGAGACTATAAATTAATGTGGTATCGAATGTCCGACCACAATGGAGACACACAAATGTATGATTATATCATGCAAAATAAAGATGGTAAAAATATTTATGCTAGTAAACAGAAGTTTGCTAATTGCTATTGCATAGTATAACCGGTTAAGCCATCCCGGTAGAAAAATGCAATTAAAAATAATGATCCAGATCCAAGATCCGTATCAGTGCCAGCAAAGGCCTGATTGAAAAAACAAAAGTGCAATATATTGAATTGCTCTTCCTTAATAAAAGAGATGTCTTTGGACCTCTTGCCACTACATCTAAAGATGTAAAACCTGTTATGTGCTAGTGGGTCTTCGTGCGTAAAAGTTGAAATCACACGATATAAAGTCCGACTTGTTACACAAGGTTTTTCTCAAAGACTTGGAGTTGATTATGAAGAAACATATTCTCCAGTCATAGATGCAATTACATTCAGGTACACAACGAGCCTAACAGTCTCTTATCATTTAGAATTGTACCTTATGGATGTAGTGACAACATGTTTATATGGATCGTTGGATTTAATATATACATAAAAATCCTAGAAGGATTTAAAGTTCCTGAGCCATTAGACTCAAAGTCTAATGAAATATGTACGGTCAAATTACAGCGATCACTTTACGTATTAAAATAATCCGGACGCATATGATATATTGCTTAAGCGATCATTTCTTAAACAAAGAGTATGTTTATAATGAAATATGTTCTTGCGTCTTTATTAAGAAATTTCCATCAAGATTTGTGATCATTGCTCTATATGTTGATGACCTAAATTGGAACTTAAAAAGAGTGATTAAATATCACTAAAATTTTATATAAACACGTTATATAAACAAAGAGAATGCTATTCAAGCACTGCATGCTTCCGTCCACATTTCAGAGGTAACATTTAATTTATGTTGAATTTATTTAAATTCATTTAAATTTAAATTTAATATTATATACGGAGTTGAAGGTTATATATCTCCTCCTCCTTAATTCTGTAGTAGGCTAAGCCTCCAGAAACATATGATTTTTGGCCAAATCACCATTTTTCTTTGATAAGCTCATTAATGGTCGATTCCCGTAATATTTCTCCAAATTAAACCCCGTGTATAACCGGTCTAAAAAAAAATAGATTCGGGCCAAGATAAATAGGTTTGAAAAGCCATCATCTTGGGAGGGGTTATTACAAGTCCCATATTTTTATAAGGATCTAAAAATAAATACATGATCCATATTGGATATGTTATTGATCCTAAAGTGGGATTCAGTTCGAGATGAATGAACTCGAAGAGTTATCATCTCGAGGGGGAGAATTAAAGGAATCCCACATCGACAATAAGTCGGTAAATTTTGGTGAGTTTGACACCCAGAGCGAAATAACTCTGGTGAAGTCATATCCTAAAATTTATCGCTTTTTGATAAAGTGGAACATCTAAAAATGATGTTCACTCTCAAAATGAGCTTTAAGCGAATCGTTCATAGCGCAAATCCAAGAGATTGCAAAACGATTCATGGTGATTTAGTCTCTATGTTTTTTACATGGAGCATGCAGTTTTGCATGTATTAATGATTATATACAAGGCCAACGATTTATAAGAAATATTTCTCCAATGTTATATATACATGATTGGAGATCAAATATTTCTCATTTTGAATTTTATGGGTGTGAGATATATATAAATGCTCCTCTGCACCGCATAAAAATTAACATCCTAAAAGGATGAAATATATAGACGCTAGAGATGAGTCTCTGCTCTATAATATTGAGCCATCTTATGAGAGATGTGCCTATTGCAAGATAATTGCAAATCAAATGCAACAAGCTGATGGATGAGATTTCATGAAATTATTGATCCTCGTATAAATACATATGAACTTAAAGTTCATAGGAAATCTCTTGTCCTAGCTAAAAATGCTCTACAAAATTATGTCTCTGGCGGATGACATATTATTGTCTATAACACGATAAAAACGTGATAGACAACTTTGGTTCCAAATATAAAGAAAATCTTCGAAAAAAAGAGAGCATATTATTACTAAAAAGAGGATTATACTCTTAAAAGAGGAGCGTATAGACTTCTAAAGAGAAGCATAGAGACTCCTCAAGCGGAGCAAAGAGACTCCTAAAGAGGAGTAAAAAGAGACCGATTGGCATGGTTAAAGACGAAATCAGGTACCTGAATAAGATCATTTGTAATGATCAAGAGATATCGATTAACCATGTCATTACGGCAAATATGGAACCAAAGACAACACAATGTCGACAAGAAAAATGATCTAGCGCACAAATAAAATTAATGAGGATCATAAATCTCCGCTCTGTGAGCGTAAAGAGATATATATTGGCCAATAAACAAAGAGACAGCCAAGTCTATATTAATTTCGTATTAGAAACGAGTAATTCCTGGACACATGGTCCAAGCATCAAAAGAGTATTATAATACTTAAGACAAAATGGTGTGTCGCGCCGGGTTTTGTCAAAATCACTCGATATTGAGTTGATAAATAAATGACTTGAATTGCGTCTCTTGGGATGTCTGTAGGACTAATCCCCGAAAAATATTTGATATCATAGTTATATTCCCGGGAACTTATAAGCATGATGTTTTTGAACATCATCAAAACTCTTTAAGAGTTATTTGGAATAAAAGATCTTGGAAAGACAAAAGTGTCTCAAGATATTCCAACTAAACATCCAAAGAAAGAGATGTTATATTAGCCACTTCTAAAAGAAGTCGACTCTATATAGTTTGATCATGAAGCACTATATATAAATGCTGACGAGTATTTATATATTTTGTGAATTGTAGCTAGCATATATAAATGCTGACGAGCATTTATATATCTAGTGAATATATTGTACCTAGCATTTGCTACTGATCTACTTGCAGGATTAATTCATTTTCTCCGACAAGACCTTTGAAATGAGTTCAAATGTGTCTTCCACTATCTGCAAGGTACAATTGACTTGGGTTTATTTTATTCTAGAAATCCCGAGTTTGATTTAGTTGGTTTTGCAGATGGAGGATCTATATCAGATCTATATAAATATATATCGCAAAACAACAACTACGTGACGTTTCCAACAACCAATTTTGGTCGCCGCTTGCTCAAGCCATGCCAAAATTATTGCGCTCCATGAAGCATGTCGAGAATTTGTATGGCTCAGATTGATGCCTCATCATATACAAGAAGCAAGCAATATAGGCACCAATGAAGAGCCAACAACAAGTCACTGCTACAAATATTTTCCAACTCAAAGGAACCTATGTCAATAGCGAGATGACAAGACATATTTCTTCAAGATTCTTCTCTTGCACCCAAGAGTCTGAGAAGAAGCAAGAAGTTGATGTCCAGTACATCCAGCCAAGTAATAGTGTAGCAGTTTTTGTTCAAAGACGCTGCCTGCTACGCCATTCAAAATTCATCTTTTGAAGAAGATGCTTTCAGGGGGAGACATATGATGATGAGCGTGGCTGCACTCTTTTTCCCTTATCATGGTTTTTATCCCACTGGGTTTTTCCATGACAAGGTTTTTAACGAGGCAGCAAATTAAATAACACGCAAAAGATAGACATCGAAGTGAAGGTCTATCTCTCTTCAAAATCTTTGTTATATATTGACGAGATCAAAAAGAGCGAAGAGAATGTTCGAGATGCATCATCTACGAAACCTATAAAGAAAACAAGACTCGTCTATTCTAGGGGGAGATTGCGTCACTGTACTCTTTTTTCCTTTATCATGGGTTTTCTCCTATACGATTTTCCCATAATAAGGTTTTTAACGAGGCAGTACGCAATAAATCGATAGTGATGGATACTCAAAGGGGAGTGTTATAAATAGATATTTATTATGATGATTATCCATTACATCTTCTCCTCACGTCACTTGGTCCCCAAGTTAAGTAGTTAAAGTTTATCTTCATTATAGTTTATCCATTCATAAATATTAGCTTAGGCTCCAAGTTTTGTTGTACTATATATACTTCTCATTTGAGAAGTTGAAGCAACACACGTAGAAAGAAGAAAACGAGATAATAAAGAAAGATCACGTCTCCTTCCTCCTCTCTACTACTTTAATATTTTCTTATTTCAGTATTTTTATTGAACACATCTTTATTTTTCCTTATATTCGATGGATTTTTACTACTCCATATCCAATGGGTCTTCACATTATTCAAAATATTTTTTGTTAAAACGATTAGTATTTCTTATTTGATATAATTCTATGATAACATATTTTGTAATAACTATCAAATTTACTTTTATTTTTTTACATTTAACTATTGAAGAATCCATGGGTGAGATAGGATAGGATTTAGGAATCTATTTACCATAAACGATAAGTTATTAAGAAATAATGGGCCTTATTCTCAACCAACTTGGGGCAAGTAGTCAAGATTAACCAAGACGGATCCCCTCGCACGCAAAAGCTCGTCATAGAAATATAATTATTTTCCATGTTTAGTAGCACATTATGTTCTTTATTTGTTAGTTGTTGATGCGTTGTCGAAATCTTTTTCTAAACGAATTTAATTTCAATTAATTTATATAGTTTTCACTTTTTATGAACGTGACTTCCATACTTTTTTCTCCCACAAAACTTGCTAATCCATATCTAAAACCTCACTATAAATTAGGACTTTCAATGAAAGAGCATATAGATATGGATGCAAGATCGGGATACGTGATCGAATATTAATTTGAAAAACTTAATTAATAGGTGAGGAAAATTTTAAAACCTTATCATATATGTATGTGGGTCATACATGTGAAAGGGTTCTAACTTCTAACGATAAAACCTTAAAGTAATGCCTCCGAAAAATGAAAATCGTAAATTTCAAAAGGATTTGACATTTGGTGATGCAAATGGCCAAAACCCAAAACAACACAAAAACAGAAAACCTTATCTCTTTTGTGGTCTCATCAGACATCACATGTGGTGTCATAAAATTGTTGTGGCTTGTGGGTCAAGAGTCCTTTCACATCCCAACACCTATTTCTTTGTCACAAAAAACCTAATAAATTTGTTTTTTGCTTTGCTTTTTGTTAGATAAATCATAAAGTGCATGAATGTGAATGTAAATAATCATAGCCTGACATCATAATCCAAAGACATTATCCGATCGTTTCTCTTTAGCTTTATCTTTATTTCCTAAAATATAGATACACATTCGGATAATAACATGTTGACAAAATTGATAGCAACATCAACATAGATAAGTAAGCTAAAAACCTTAGCATTTTGGATACTTTTTGTTTAAAGAAAAAACATTTTTAATAAATTAATGAGATAAATAGTAGTTGCTTAGTTCGTGATGAGCTGTTATCGAGTGGATGAGAAATTGATAGCCCCCATTATTGTTTTTATCTGAAATTTCTATTTTAATACGATTTGAAAGAGAATCAACTAAGTCTTTTTTTTCTTTTTTTTGGTTGATCAAGTATTTGGCAGTTTTCTTTGAAAAGAAAATAAGATCTCTCAAAGATAAAAAATAGGATCTGATGTTCTCAAAGACGTCTCAAGAATTCATGTTTGATGAAGTTGAAGAAGATTTGCCAATACGAATACTCGCGAGTCGCCACGGTTCACTAGTCGACGAACCACCACTACAAATAGAATGAGTAATTATTGTATGTTGTAATAACTTGAAACCGAAAAGTCTTCGATCGATGATCATGTATTAGAATATCTATTTTTTATTTTTTATTTTTGAGGGCCAGTTGGAATTTTTTTTTTTTTTTTTTCTATTAAACCTTAAACTTGGAGAAGACGATTTTAGCAAATTTACTAAAGATAGAAAAGCGAAATCCAAAAGGAAGACCCACAAGTGACAAATAATTTGGGAAGAAAATAAGTATATAATTATATTTTATATAGTTCATATAATATGAAATTATGAATTATATAGCCTAGAAGCTCATTTCTTACGGTTTGCTTAGCTTTGTTAGGAGGTCGGCTGGAACTTTACAAAATATCTTATCTTGCAAACAACTCTCATGTCGACTAATGATTACATCATACGAAAAACAAATATGATTAGAGTTAAAATTTCTTGATAATATTTTCTATTGCAATAGTATACCCATTAACTAAAATAATACTGATAGCTTTTTCTATATACATACTAAGTTGTGTATAACCAGTTAAAATTGGTTCCAAATACAAGAGTTATAAAATTTTCTAAGCTTCAAAATAAACTCGTAATAGCGTTTTTATACTTCACTAAAATTTAAAAAATGACTGTCTAAACATTTTCACATCCGCATAAACAATAAAAACTTTCTAAAAACTTTTAAAATCCATAAAAAAAAAAATTCGATTAAAAAATATCAGTTTTGGTATAAGCTATCGACCAATCTATGAATAATTATTAGTTAAACAATAGGCCAACTCTGAACCTAGAATTACCGCCTAAGACTATGTACAATGGTTGATTTATTCAACACCCTCTTTTTTAACTTTTAACACTCCATATCATTTTGTTTCTCTTCCACCTAATAATTCAACATTCATTTCAATTTTAATCTTTACAGTAGTTTTGTTTAATAAAATTCAACACTCTACCCTACTCTTTTATTTTATATTATTTTCTTTTTTTTTTATTTTTGTTTTATGATTATATACCAATAACAATTGAAATAAAATAGTTAAGGGTTAATAATTTTTTAATTTTTCTTTTAAATTCTTAAAAAAAATAATCAAAGTAATATTAAAGAAGAAGAACATATAGAATTTCATTATGAATAGTGGGACTCGGATTGGATAATATTGTCCGAAGTGCAAATAGTAAACTCGGACTCGGATTGGATAGGATTGTGCGTTTAAAAGAGTAATTAGAAGTATTTTGGATGTTAAATGGATTATTGTTGGGATCAATTTCACAAAAAAATGATTTTTTTTCTTTGCTCAAATCAAATGAAATAAGTCTCTATTTATAGAGTATAAAAAATGATGAATTTTGATATAAATAAAAATAAAAAGTAATTTATTTACTATAAGATAATTTATCTTAAATATTTTGGTAGAAAGAAAAAACCAAAAATCCTTACCAGCCAATAAAACAATAGCAAATACATTAATTTATATCTAATTCAAAAGTAATTTTCTTTACCAATTAAAAGGCGCCACGTGTACATGTTAATATTCTCTTTTACGGATTCAACATGTTGAAAGAATTCAACACCAATTAATCCACATCAGCCTTTTTCTTTTTTTCAACAAACCATTGTAACGATCAGTTTAATATAAAAATTAAACACACCATTGTAAGTAGTCTAACATATTTTAGCATATTGTTTATAACATGATTAAATAATATTTTAGAATCATATCAGTAATTTTTGTGATATTTGATTGACTCAAGTAATCAATAAACATGACCTACCAAAAAAAAAGTAATCAATAAACATGATATTAAAAAATTACATCATTAACTTATTTTGCACAAATTTTGTAGCACCAAACAAAGTAAAAGCGCTTGATCTTTTGCCCCATACTTTGAGATGCTCTTCCCCGCGCGGGTGTAAATGGTAACATTAGTCTTGAGGAATTGTTGAGGAATTTTGGTGGAAAAAAATTATGTTACATCATTTGAAGACTTGAGGAATTGTTGAGGAATTAGTAGAATTCTTGAGGAATTAGTAGAATTCTTGAGGAATTTTGTTTTGTTAGGTTTTTTTTTTGTTTTAATCAAAAATTAAATAATTCTTGAAACTATAAATATTTAACTTCAATAGTAAAAGTTGTTATTAAAAAAATTAAAAATTAGCGAAATACAATTCAAAAATGAAAATTAAGTTTAAGAGTTTATGGTTTCAAATGATAATTATGTTTGATTAAATTATCAAATATATTAACTTTAGATTTCACCATAAATCACCAAAAATATAATAATTATGTTTGATAAAACTTTAAATATATTAACTTACAACTTTTGATAATTTTTTTAATCTTAAGAAATGTTAGATATTTTCGAATTTAGGCTTTGACTGTTTCGTAGTTTTTGAAAGAGTTTTTAGTTTTTGTTTTGGAAAAACTCATTTCACACCAATCAAGTTTTTCAAATTTTGGTTTCTCTACAATTTAGAAACACCTTTTTGTTGTGATCTTCCATTCAAGATTTTAGATTTTTAGTTTTCCTATAATTTAGGGAATCTAGTTTTTACTCAATCTACGTTATTTTTCTCAAAAACCAAAACCACTTTTTTGGGGTTTCAAAAACAAAAATCTATTTACAAAATCTAAAACTAAAATCTAAAATTCAAAAACTAAAAACAAAATCCAGAAACCAAATTGAAAAACAACATCCATTCATGGCCTTAATTAATTTAAAAACATAAATCAGATTGGTGTTTAGGTAACTTGGTTATCTGTCTAATACAATAATTTTAAATTTCTTCAAAATTCAATCTTAGTTTTTACAATTTACAAGTTTTTCATAATATTTCGTTTTTAAATCATTTTGTTGGAATATTTTTCTAATTAAATACTTTAGAAGTTTATTTGATTAATTATTATTTAAAAAATTCAGCTAGATTCAGCAGTTTATTCAGCCATATTCTGCAAAATATCACAAATAAATTCAGCCAGATTCAGCAATTCAGCCGGATTCCTCGATTACCATTAAGACCCCAAGTTAATTGTATTTTTTATGAGTTGAGTGTGTCGAAGGTATTTTCATACATAAAACGTCTAGTGAACTTTAGAAACAATTGGCATGTATACCTCTAATGGTCCTAGACGAACTCCAAGAAAATCGTGATATTTTCTGTGTAAGTTTAAATTCTTCAGATTACGAGAAAAAAAAACTTCATATATTTTAATGATGAATAGAATACAAAACATCTAATAAACTATGAAATAAATTCATTAACTTCCAAAAACAATGACGAAAACAAATACTAAAAAAGTTAACATATATATAAAAAATAGTTAAGTACAGTATACTAAACGAGTAAAGAAAGTTTATAAGAAAAATAAAACCTCAATTTTTTTTTTATTATATGTTTCAAGGTTTATGAAATTAAATAGAGTGGAAGCTAAAATATAGAGACTTTCCAAATTGACAGTGCGTCCCAGAAAACAAGCATAAGAATAATATGTTTCAAGGTCAATGAGAAAGATGAAGATAGAGTAGAGTGAAGCTGTTGACTCCTTGATGTCAAGCTGCTAACTCATGGGTTGACGAAAGACATCTCTTTCCCACTCTTCATGTATGTCAGCTTTGTGATGGCAGCTGAGTCCTGAGCCCTTGGTGCAACAGTGAAGCGTGATTTCGATTTCGATGGCTGCCTCCTTTTCCATTTCTGTTGCCCCTTAAGATACTCAGATCTTGACTGCATATGCCAATTAACATCCATAGGAGAAAAATCTCCATCCGATGGAAATTCTTTATCGAATTCACTCTTAATTGAATTGGTGATGCTCAGTTTCTAATATTCGATGCTCTAACTTAGAAAAAGAATCCATCATCTACCGTGAAGAAAATGTTACTTAGAACCTAGTAGTTAGAGATTACGATATACTCCATATCAAATCAGTCAACTAAATCAAACCTAATTAATACTTCCTCCGTTCTTTTATAAGTGATGTTTTAGGAGAATACACATAGATTAATAAATCATTTAATTTTTGTTTATTTTTAAACTAAAACATCATTTATTATCTAATATACCAATAAAAAAATAACATACAGAATATAAAACGTCAAAACCAATAAAAAGTAATTAATTTTGCAATGAAAATTGAAAACATCATCTATTTAATAACAAAATTAAAAATTTAAAACATCACTTATAAAAAAACGAAAAGAATATTTATTAACTAATTAATCAATGGGATCTATAAAATCTACCTATGCGTAAAATAGTACTCCTTCCGTCCCACAAAGATTTTTAGAAATTTCACATTCTTTAAGAAATAATATATAATGATAATTTTAACCTTTTAACATATTTTAAAAAGTATATTATTTATTGTTGTTTAATAAAAATAAAACAGGTAAATTATTTTAAATTTGACATTAGAAACACAAAACTTCTATATTTATGTGACAAATTTATCTTCGTAAGATGGAGAGTATTATAATCCAACTTTTTAATCCCGAGATAAGGAGATAAGGTAGACGTTGCATCCCCAACATAATATTCTTTTTATCGATTTGTTCCTTTAATTTAATTTCATGTTGGGCTGTTTTCCATTCATCCGCCAGCTGTCCTTTTCTCAACTATACCCCTCAAGAATCTTTTACTTTCCAAACTTACCCTCAAAAATTTCATCATTTACCCTATCATATCAATCATCTCCTTGAGATGTTTAAGGTAAAAATAAGATTCCATTGAATCTTTCACTTTAACCTCGACCGTTTCAGGAATCTCACTCAATCTGTGATTCACAAATTAGTTCCACGAATCTTTTACTTCTTGAGATGTTTAGGAAAAATCTGATTCCTTTGAATCTTTCACATTCTTTAGCTCCAAAATTAATTTTTTCACGAATCAAAATCTTTCAAATATTTGATTCTTCTCTTTAGTCCAATTTCATTTTTTTTGCCATAGTCCACAAAAGTCCCCAAAATATTCCAAAGTTGAACGTAACGGTTAAACTAAGTAATCTTCTTCTCCTCATTGTACGAAACCTGAAAAAAAACAAACCAAACTAAAAAAAATAAAAATCAAACGTTCACAAAAAAATAAAACAAAATTAACCAAATAAATAAGAAACGGAAAATACATACATACCTGACACGACGAACAACACATACCTGGGGAATATTAACGGAACACACATAACACACGACGACGGTTAACGGCAAACGGAACGGGTCAACGGCGAATGGAGAACGTTGACTTGACGGAACAAACTAACGGTGAAGGCAACGAACGATGGAGAGAATTGCAAAATTGGATCCAAAAAAATTTACTACTAAGTCCTTTTCCAGATTTTAATTACCCAATTTGTCACTACTGTTTTCCAATTTTAGATTTCTAGATACTTTCGACTTGCGAAATATTTTTCTCTGCTTCAATAAGCAAATATGTGTATGTACAATGCATCATCATCATCATCATCTCATCTCCCACCCAACAAAACAAAAACGGTGTCGTCTTGGTCACCGTTTACATAACTCGGTCCGGTTTAACTCAGCTCCGAATTTCACTCGGTCCGGTATGACTCAGCTCCGAATTTCACTCCTTCCATGGCAGATCTGAGTATTTTTTTTTTCCTGTGGCCGATTTCAAAAACAAGAACAAACCTGAAAGATTCAAAGATCTTCTGCTTTCGACATAGACGCGAGTCTGCTACGACGAGGCTCATAAGCAGATCTTCTCTTGAGTTGATGTGACGATGGTCTAATCAACGTAGTCAAAGCTCTTCTCACCCATTCACCTTCAACACCACCGATTCTCACAAGCGAATTCGTCATCGCAGATCTACGCATATTCAAACTATTCGTCGGATACGTTCCTGTACCTTGACCGTGTGGATTCGCGACGTTCTTGTGTAGACTACATCGGAAAGAACCAGGATGCGTCGTCGGAGAACACATACATCTCCTTCTCGAATCTGGAATCTTATGATGATTACTAGGTTTATTGGAAGAAACAGCAATGGATCGATTCGGTGATATAGATCTGTTATCGATCGAGTAACGAAACGATTGCGTCATCGGAGCTGATGTGAATAGATTCACACGCGTCGGAGATGCAGATCTGTGTTGGTGGTTATGGTGGTGGTTGTTTTGATTGTGGCTGCTGAAAAACGCTGTAGACGGCGACGAGAAACTTGAGCTTGTGGAAGAAGCGAAACCTGACGACGACGGAGATGATGATGATGAGTATACGCCGCAGAATCGACCGGACGGTGATTTGGATCGGAGAGCAGATCCGTTTGATCTGGTGGTTCTAGAAGATGTAATCGCCATTGGAGAAGCTTCGAGAAGAAGATTGAAGAATTTTTTAGAAGGATTTTGCTGTTTCTCTCTTAAGTGTCCCCTAAGGGTGATTGGTTCGGCAAACCTAGCGAGTCTCAGAAGACGAATTTATAGCTAAACCTCTAAATGGCATTTTATGTAATTATTAAGAAAGTTTGTGACCTTTTTTGGGGATTTTAGGAGATTTCTGTGTGTTGGGTTAATTGACTTAACCATGGTTAAGCAGGATGGGTTTGGGGATCTCAACTTGCCGTATTGAAAAGAATTGGATTCTGATCTAACGGCTGAGATTGAGTTTCAGCGAAGTGCTCTTGTGGGCATTTGTGATGACTGCCACGTAATCAGATTCGAGAAACGGTCAGCTGAGAAGTTACGAAAGTACCCTGACATAAATGTGAATAATTACGGATTGCCATTTGTCTCTGTTTTCATTTTCATTGACCCTAGTCGCCCACTGGGATATCTTTTTCTTGAAGGAGATTGTTTTATCACTTTTTCTATATTTATCTACCAGCTATTTATTAATTGATGTAATGGGACCAATTAGATAATTATTTTTGTTATTTTATGATTGGAAAAAAAACCTGAAAAAATCGCCATTTATTTTTTTTTTGGCCGTTTAATACCTATAGTTTTAAATTTGGAATAAAAATACTTCGTTTATTTTCGTTTGCCTTTTAAATTCATTATTTTTTAAATCTTGGTAATTTCGAACCCGGGATTTAACTGCCGCTAATAGACGTAACGAAATTGTTTAACGGAGTTAACTTTTAACCGTACGTAGAATTCATTGTCTCTGATTGTGTTTCCACACTTATTGTGTCTCTGGTGGTAACCCACGTCTTACTTAATCCCTAGCTGAAGGGTTCGAAACCGCCTGCAACCCATTTAATATTTTTTTTGCTTTTTTCATTTCACTTCATCTTCTTCGTACAATTTTTTTTTTTTTTGCCTCCTCACCTTTTTCACAAAATCTCACACTCTCCTCAAAATTTCTCCCAAATTCACCAAAAAAAACTAAGTTTTTCTCTGCGTCAATGGCGATTTCATCTCTAGCCACTACTTCTTCTTCCTCAAAACTCCTCAATTCCTTTACTTCCCCATCAATCTCCACCATTAAACCAAAATCCCTAACTCTCTCTTCATCCTTCCTCCCATCAATCACATCTCTCTTCATCACCACCACCATAAATGATGAGAACTGAATTGAAAAAAATAAAATCGATTGCAGGGATCCGTGAGAAGACGAAGTGAGATAAAAAAGGAAAAAAAATGAAAAAAAAAAAATTAAAGGGTTGTACCACCAGACCAAGACAACAAATACGTAATCTGTTGTAAACCTATTGTATTTATATATTTAAAAACGTATGGTTAAAACCATTCCGTTACGTCTATTAACAGCTGTTAAGTCCCGGGTCCGAAATTACCAAGATTTTAAAAACAATGAATTTAAAAGGCAACCGAAAATAAACGAGGTATTTTTATTCTAAATTTAAAACTATAGGTATTAAACGGTCAAAAAAAAATAAATGGCGGTTTTTTCGGGTTTTTTCCCTTTTATGATTATGTATGGTTAGTGAACAATATTATACCAGAATAGGTTACTTAACATTTGTTAGATAAACCACTTCTTTTTATAACTTTTTTTTTTTTTAACTGAAAGATAAATAGATTAAGTTTTACAAAGCTGGCGATTAACAAGATAACCCCAAAATCTAAGCCGACGGATAACATGAAATCCTCGGAGTCTAAAGCCCAAGAGTATGGGAAGCCTAAAAACACAACTTCAAATGCATAACAAAGCGAAATACAAGGAAGGGCAAAAGAGAAACTGAAGCATGGAAGATCAAAAACTATAACCAGAATCTAGCACAAGAGGCTTTGCCTACCATCAATCCAAATAATAGAAAAGCTTGCAGTAGTGGCTAAACGAAGGGGAAGATCAATTCCACAACACCGGATAGCGACTCCTCCTATAACAAAAGAAGACTACCTCACAATTCAAATAATTGCAGCATCCCATCCAGCAAGAAGAGAACCAAACATCTCCTTGAAACGGCGAAATCGAGGCAAAAGAAAACCAAGATCGGACAACGCCAAGAAAGATACCCAAGCAATATAGAGATCTCGATCAGATCTATAGCATAGAGACAAGGACTGAGCCCAAACAAATCCGCAACCAACCAAAGACTGAAGACGGCAAGAGAACGGACCGGATCGAAAAACAAACTTACTCCACAAGACAACGAATAGGCAAAGGAAAACGATGCTAAACCACAAAAGACTGGATATAGAACAGAATCCCAAAACAATCTCCAACCACCCATCAATGACGGCACAAAGACATGAACACAAGTGAAATCGGAGAGAACGAAACTAACGAAAGCACAAAGAAGACAGTAGCCAAACCACAAACGCTAAGATACCAGATACCGTCGCACCCCATCAAAAGAAGGAGAGCCAGACCTCCAGCAAACATTAGCCACGGCAAGTACCATCTCTCATCACCTTCGTCGGACCCAAAACTGAAACGACCATGGAAGAGACCACAACATCCACAACACCGAGAAGAAACTCCAACCACGCAAAAGGCCAAAGGCTCCGACGAATCGAAACCCTTAACCAAGCCTTTTTAGATCTAAGATCCAGAAAAATCTTCACTTCGCCAACAACGACGACAGCTCCAACACGACAAAGAAAAAACAGAAGACTAACAAGAAGGACCGACGCCGACGCTATCTAAGCCGCCACGCGCCGGTCACACGCTTAAACGGGACTGTTAGCTTTCTCTATTTTTATCGCCGAGAGGAAGATATTTTCTTTCTCTTATCGTGTTAAAAAATTTACTTCTTTTTTTTATTTTTTCTTTTTTTTTTTTAACTCAACTTTATTTTTTACTGATATTGAGTTTTTTTACCAGAAAAATAAAGAGAGGATATTTACTTATCGTACAATTTTTTTTAGTTTGTTTTACGATCAAAGACTGACTAATAAATTTTTTATTACACATTAATAAATATTGAGGTTGGTTTTTGATTATTTTGAGATAGTTAACCATTAAATAATACGAATATAAAAGAAAAAGAATTTGTTTTCACTCCGTATTACGTTTTACGGATGCTTTCTCCTATAAATCATACCCCAGAAATTGTGTCGGATTCCAATTTGATAAATAACATTGTTAATAATATGTAAATGTCTATACTTCATAAAATAAAATTGACCATAAAAATAATATCATGAAATGCATCGTAAGATATCTAAATTTTAATTAGAATCAAACTAAAACAGAGAATATGTTTCATCAACGAACACAGAATTTAAGAATCATTTTAGAGTTAAAAGTTCTCACCAAACTTTGAGAAGCAAATCAAGTTTAACATAAAGAAACTAAACCAAAACGTAACAACTTGGAAGAGGAATGATATATAGTTTTGTATTTAGGCTAATTCATATTCTATATAACAAAAGGCTCGTTTTGTTGTCAAATGTAGATGAATCGTTTTATTCTCTAAACATAAACCCTACGAATTATAATACGTAATTAAGCATCCCTTGTCCAACAAGGAAACAAAGAATGAATCCATAAGAATGCTAATAAAATACATTAAAATATAATCAACCAAGTACGTACGACGTAGGATGTTATTAAATAATTTAAATAAACCGGCTTTTTAGAATTCAAAACTCGATTCAAACTTAATTAATCGGTCTTCATAATAGTGCTATCGACTTCTTTCGGTTTGAAAGGTCGGCGAACCATCTACCTGTTTACATATATTGCTTGTTAAACGTATATAAATACTTTGTTGTCAACGTAGGAACCCTAACATATAACAAAAAAATACAAAAATAAGAAATGTATTTATAAGATGGTAAAAGGATGTCACAATCTATATTCAAATCCAGTAAAATGTATCTTATTGACAAAAAAAAAAGATTAATTTATTATATGTGAATGTGACCATCTTCCAAATTGTGTTCATTCGTACTTGTGTGACATCCAATTACTGATATAAAATGTTGTTGAAATGATGAAATTTAATTACATCCAAAAATTTGTTATTTTTTTAGTTTGGTTTTGATGATTAACATTTTTTTTTTATCGTTACCATTGAATTTTTAATGTTCTTTACGTTTATAAATTTATAACATTCAAAAATGATAACAAAAATTTTTAATTTTAAGTACCGTTTTTGATAACGTTGGACCGGTTCTGATTTGATGCAATGTGCTTAATTAGCGACGAATTTTTATCCAATTTTTATAGTATTAATAAGTTATAGAGTTGAGTTGACTATGCAATATGTGCAAGTGATCATTATAAATCATTGGCTTGCATATTTCCCGTCGCTCTTGGTAAAATTTTAGAAATTAACTTCCATCGTCGTCCATTGACTATGGAATAAACTTCCAACGTTATGTGGCAATTGGCGACAAAGACGCATGAAGTTTCCGCAGACAAATATGGGTTCGACTTTGCTGACTTTGAACAAAACTTGGAAAAAATTTCCTATAATCAAACTAATCACTTTTAATACGCTTTTACAAATGATCCGTTTATACTTTATTTCATAATTATATGTAATCTCTTATGAAAAGAATATTCTGATGTTATTAAAAGTAAACTTATTCATTGTAATTAACTAATTATTCATCATTTTCTTAATAATACAATGTTTTTGGAGAATATTAAATGTAAAAATAGTTGATGAGCACATAAATGCACATGGTGGTGATGAATGATAATGTTCCTAGCTGTGAGGGAGCGTGACTTCAACACAATTATGTGTCAGTCTGTTCAGATTTGGGTCGCAGTCTTGTTGCCAAAATCTATGGGAAAATAAATTTCTTTACACTCACTCTTTTTCTAGCTTTTTAACCGCCATCTTTTTTTAGCTTTTGAATTTTATGAGATTCAGTCATATTATCACTTTTGTAATGTTTTTATCCTCTTCTTTTGGGTAAAAGATACATGAATAAGTAAAGTTTTATTCTCGGTTTCAGTTGCTTTAAAATTGTTTTTACATACACAAATCCATTATAATTCAGTGAAAGATGTAGAAGTGTGATCACAATGATTTGTTATGAC